AGCCTTGGTACAACGTTATGGCCCTAAGGTTTCCTCAGGTATGTTTTCTGCCTTGTTACCCTGTTGGTCGTACGATGTCGCTTAACTATATAATTCTCTATGACAACAGGTCGGGGAGCTTCTAGGCAAAGGGCACCAGTCCCAGCTTTCAGGCGACCCGTTGCTACCAGGGATACTCGCTATATCTTAAGCGAGTCAGTTCAGGAAGGTCGTCCTTTACTCCTTACACAGGGGGAAACGTATGGAATTGCGGTCGTGATAGAAGCGGCCTCGTTGGCACTACCTCCGTGTCCTGTTGACGAATCTTCTAATGGTGACGAGCCGTTAGACAGAAAAAGGAGGAGGTTGGAGCTGGGAAAGGGTGTGGCCACTGAGCCTGATGGAAGTGACACATCTCGGACGGCTCCGGTGCCCGTTTTAATGGCTGATGCCTTTAGGTCGGGGAGGTCTCCTCGAGTGGAGTGAGTTAGACCAGGAGCTAGTTCAGTGCGTCCCGCTGAAGGGGAAGCGTCATCCAATGTCGGAGGAGCTCACGTGGAGGAGGGCGGATCGGGTTCTGATGTCGCCCAGGAGGACGTGGACGAATTTTTGGGTCGCCACACCTGTGTGGAAGTGAGGACAGATGGGTCCGACCGTCATGTGATAATGTCGGGAAGTTACAACTTGCTGCTGAATAGCGAGCAGGTTGCGTCGGCTCTTGACTCTTTATGTGCCTTTCCTGAAAATGAAATGCTTGGGGCGATGAGTGACGCGGAGTTATCTCGGAAGGTTGCCGGTATGGCCTTGCAGGTTGGTTCCCCATTCTTTTCTTTATGTCGTGTGGTTGGCGTGGTAAAGGTGTATTTTTCTAACTCTGCTTTTCTTTTGTTAGAACCTCGTCCTGGAGGTGGAGAGAGATCGCCGCGACCGAAGAATGACGAGCCTCTATAAGAATATGTCATGAGGTACCATCAGTACCGTGCTAAACATCGGGCGATGTCCAACATCTATCAACAGGATCCCAAGTTCCAGGTGTTCCGCGGGGGACATAAGCAGCGGGAGGGCCAATTGGAGCGTAGGATGGAGGATATGAAGGAGACGGACGAGGAGCTTGTGAGGGCTATCGCCCGTAATTAGCGAACTGGAGGTCCTTCTTAAGGCGAGGGAAGACGAACTTGAACTGAGTCAAGGGGTAACGGCGAAGAATGCCGACCTGCAGCTGAAGGTGGCCGGCTTAAATGCCGAGCTGAGTGCTAAGACGATGGAGATCAACAGACTTAGGGGCAAATTAAATGCCAATGCCGACAAGTTGGCCGCTGCCATTTCCGAGACAGTCTCTTTGGAAGATGCCCTCCGTATATCCGGGTCGGAACTTGCCGGGGAAAGGGAAGCCTCCGGTCGTCAAGTCGCGGAGTTCGAAAGGCGTTTTGGGGAGATAGAGGCGGAGTTGGCCGTCTTTCAAGGGAAAATGGCTTCGCAGGGGGCAGAGGAAGCAAATCGTTATTCTCGGCCCTCCTCATCTCTTCCTTCGGCCGGTCAGGGCTCTCCTCGTCGCTTGTACGAGTTGTGGGTCTATGCGGAGGCTTTGCTTGATGTATATAGGTCTTTTTATGCCGAGGGCCGGGCGACGGAGGCGGAGGTTCGGGCAGTACATACCGAGGCGCGTGCATCTCGCGAGTCGTGTGGGTACGACCCTGACACTCCCGATGGGGAGGGTGTCACTTCTGATGACGTGAACCGCCTTGACTTGGATTCGTGGTATGAAGATGCCTACCCTGCTGGAGGCGACGTGTAGTTTTAGTATGTACATTCATTTTTTTTGCTTGTAAATTTTTGGACGTGGGTCATACCGGGACCTGTCCGTAGGGACGAATGTACATAATATTTTTGTTGTAATATAAACTTCATTTTTGTCACTGTCTGTTTGTCGTTTTTCCTTTTTGTTTATCGCATGAAACTTGGTCTCTGTTGGGATGTTGTTTCGATTATTGTTTAAACGATATCTTGTCATGATTCGGACGAGTTATAACTAATGTAGATGGCCTTGGTCATTGGGATGTTGCTTTGCTGTCGTCGAAGTAGTGTCCCATCGTGGTTCGGACGAGGTCGAACTAGTGTCGATGGCCTTGGCCATCGGGATGTTATTTCGACTGTCGTCGAAGTAGTATCCCGTCGTGGTTCGAACGAGGTCGAACTAGTGTCGATGGCCTTAGCCATGGGATGTTGCTTCGACTGTCGTCGAAGTAGTATGCCGTCGTGGTTCGAACGAGGTCGAACTAGTGTCGATGGCCTTGGACATTGGGATGTGCTTCGACTGTCGTCGAAGTAGTTTCCCGTCATGGTTCGAACGAGGTCGAACTAGCGTCGATGACCTTAGCCATTAGGAGATTTGCATTTCGTACGTAAAATGGAGAGTGAATTCTGTTCATACAATGGAGAATGAATTCCGTTCATACAATGGAGAATAAATTCCGTTCATACAATGGAGAATGAATTCCGTTCATATAATGGAGATTGAACTGCGTAGTCCCTTCATTACTTTGACCCAGAGAGCGTATCGACGGGCCAAAGTGATGAATAATGTTCCGATCCACAGGGTATCCCCTTCGCCGCCTTGTTAAAAACCTCCCCGAGAAAACCCGATTGGGACAAAACTTGGGCGAGGGAAAAAGAGTACGACTTAGGTGACACCTTTCAGAAGTGGAAGTACTTGAGATAGGCAGTTGTTTTGGAGTAGTTTTCCCTCCATTGTTTCTAGTTGGAATGCTCCTTTGTTCGCTGCTGCTATGATTTTGTACGGTCCATCCCAGTTTGTTCCTAACATCCCCTCATTTGGGTGATCGTACCTTGGCTTTTTTGTTGTAGTATCTCTCTACTTGCTGCTTCTGGGCTATCATTCTCACATGGGCCATGTCTCTCCGTTCTTCAATTTCATCTAGGTCTTGTAACCTACTTTCTTCGTTATCCGCCCCGCTTATATGGGAGTATCTCAGGCTGGGTTCCCCGAACTCGACAGGTATGACTGCGTCGGTCCCGTAGACAAGCAAGTAGGGCATTTCTCCCGTGTTGGTTTTGGCGTAGTTCGGTATTCCCACAATACTTCAGGCAGTAGTTCGGGCCATAGCCCTTTAGCTTATTCGAGCTTCTTTTTCAGTATGTTCAGTATCACTTTGTTGGAGGACTCGGCTTGGCCATTGGCAGCGGGATGATATGGCGTGGAGAGTATCCGCTTGATGTGCCAATTTTTGAAGAATTCAGTCGTTCTCTTTCCGATGAACTGGGGTCCGTTGTCGCAACTGATTTCTTTGGGGATACCAAAACGGCATATAATATTTATCCATATGAAGGCGATGACCTCCTGTTCGCGTATCTGAGCATATGCACCTGCTTCCACCCATTTAGAGAAATAGTCAGTTAAAACCAAAAGAAAACGTACCTTTCCTCGTCCTACTGGCAGAGGGCCGAGCATTCCCCACTTTATGAAAGGCCATGGCGAGGTGACTGAATGGAGGAGTTCCCCTGGTTGATGTATCATAGGGGCGTACTTTTGGCATTGCTCGCATCTCTAGACATAGTCTGCGGCTTCTTTTCTCATAGTAGGACATTAATAGCCGGCGCGAATGAGGCATCAAACAAGGGCGCGATTCCCTGTATGGGCGCCGCAGTGACCCTCGTGTACTTTCTCAAGTACCTGCCTTATTTGGTGCGGTCCAAGACATTTGGCTAGGGGCCGCCAAATGTTCTTTTGTAGAGGTCATGATTTACCAAGCTGTATCGAGATGCCTGCACCCGGAGTTTCTTGGCTTCTTTCTTGTCTTGCGGGAGTGTTCCATCCGGTAAATAGGACACAATGCGGTTGCGCCAGTCCCAAGTTAGGTTCAGAGAAAGTACCTCGATGTGGTCTATGGCTGAGTGAAGGAGGGTGACGACGCTTTCCTTGTTAATATTTTTGGTTGCCGCAGCTAATTTGGCGAGGCCATCTGCTTCCATATTTTGTGCCCTAGGGATCTGGTCGAGGCGGCATTCATCGAACTCCGGCAATAGTTTACGGATTTTCGACCGATACCTCTATAGTCTCTGCTCTTTGATTTGGAAAGTCCCGGTGACTTGATTTACAATGAGTTGGGAGTCGCAATGGAGGATGAGTTGTCGGGCGCCGTATTTGAGGGCTAACTTTAGACCTGTAATCACAGCCTCGTACTCGGCCTCGTTGTTAGTCATCTCTGGGCATCGTATGGACTGGCGAATTACTTCGCCCGTGGGGACTTCGAGGATGAGTCCCAGAACCGATCCCAAGGCGTTCGAAGCGCCGTCGGTGTAGAGGGTCCAGAGATCGGTACATGCGGAAGCGCTCGCGCTTCCTGTTCCGCCACGGGTAATATTTCTGCGCTGAAGTCGGCGACGAAATCGGCGAGCACCTGCGACTTAATGGCAGTTCGCGGTTGGTAAGTTATGTCGTGCTCGCTTAGTTCTATTGCCCATTTGGCGAGTCTACACGAGAGCTCGGGTTTATGCAAGATCCTTCTCAGGGGGAAGGTTGTTATTACTTTTACGGGGTGACATTGAAAATATGGTCTAAGCTTGCATGAAGCTACGACTTGTGCCAGAGCTAATTTTTCAAGGTGAGGGTACCTTGTCTCGGCATCTATTAAGGTTTTGCTGATATTGTAAATAGGGGATTGCGTACCTTTGTTTTCGCGGACCAAGACTGCACTGACAGCGACTTCGGATACTACTAAATATACGAGCACGCACTCACCTGGGTCTGCTTTGACGAGTAGTGGTGGCGAGGACAGGTACGCTTTTAGCTTCCTCAGGGCATCGATGCATTCCTCGTTCCATTGCAGCCCGTGGTCTTTTCTTAATACGTTGAAGAATTTGTGACATCTGTCCGAGGATCGTGAAATGAACCTCGACAGGGCGGCTATTCGCCCTGTTAGTTTCTGTACCTATTTTTTGCTGGTCAGCACCTCAGGTATTGTGCCGATGGCTTTGATTTGGTATGGGTTGACTTCGATCCCTCATTGCGATACGAGAAAACCTAAGAATTTCCCTGAGGCCACGCCGAAGGCGCACTTTTCTGTGTTTAACTTCATCCCGTACCGCCTCAATATCTTGAAGGCTTCTTTCAAATGGCTAATGTGGTCCTCCTTCTTTGCCGACTTTACCAGCATATCATCGATGTAGACCTCCATTGTTTTGCCGAGCCGTTCCTTGAACATTTTGGTGACTAATCTCTCGTAAGTGGCCCCCGCATTCTTGAGTCCGAACGGCATCACTTTATAGCAGTAAGTTCCTTGGTGAGTGATGAAAGTCGTTTTTTCCTGATCTTCTTCGGCCATTAGAATTTGGTTGTAACCCGAGTAGGCGTCCGAAAAACTCAGCAGTTCGTGCCCTGCTGTCGCATCAATCAGTTGTTCGATATGGGATAGCGGGAAGGAATCTTTTGGGCACGCTTTGTTTAGATCGGTGAAGTCCACACAGATTCGCCATTCCCGGTTCTTCTTTTTGACCATGACCACATTAGCGACCCATTGGGGGTATTCTGATTCTCAGATGGAACCGTTGGTGAGTAATTTATCCACCTATTCGCTGATCGCTTCATTGATTGCGGCACTAAATTTTGTTCTTGTCTGCCGTACCGGCGGGTAGAGTGGGTCGACATTCAACCTATGAGTGGCGATGTCCTTCGGGATCCCCGGCATATCTGAGTGGGAAAAGGCAAACAAATCGGCGTTATTAGTTAATAATTCACGATACTCACCTGGCTCTGAGAGGTGGTGCCCGATGTAAGCCTTTTTTGTGTTGTCAGCGTCGTCCAACTGAACTGGGTCGAGGTTCTCTATGGTTTCTTTACAGGCTTCTACAATGTCTGGGTCTCTGATGGCCTCAGTTTGGCGGGTCGGGTTTAGTTCCCGACATGGCTAATTGCTATGCCTCCGCACTTGCACCTTTCAGTTGTTTGGTGTGTGTGCAATCCTGGGCGATCCGATGGCATTCCTGGGCGGTACACGGCTCGCCTCGGATGCTGAATATTCCCCACGGGGTGGGAAATTTGATTACATGATAGAAGCTTGAAGGGTCGGCTCGCATGGCATGTATCCATGGGCGTCCTATGATGGCGTTATAGGCTGTTTCCTAGTTCATGACATGGAATGTGGTTTCCAGTGTGACTCCCCCAGCTAAGACTGGCAGCGCTATTTCCTCGGATGTCCGCTCTACTGCATTGTTAAAACCCATTAGTGTTATGCAACGCGGTATTATTTTATCCGCGAGCCTCATTTGCGTGAGAACTCTCGGATGAATAATACACGCGCCGCTTCCGTCATCTACCATGATTTTCTTTACATCTATATCAGCGATGCATAATGTTATAACCAAAGCATCATAATGAGGGAAAGTCAGACTTTTCGAAGATGATACTGTCTTCGAAGTCACTATACCCTTCGTGGGCGACCGACCGTTTGAATTTGTGCGTGGTGGTGAACTTCACATGGTTGATTACCGAGTCGTCGCCACCGCCAATGATCATCTGTATGGTGAGATGGGTCACGTCCTCTCGCGAAGTTGGCCCTTCCTTTATCGCTGAGCAGTTCTTTCAGATACCCCTATTTCAGCATCCTGACCACTTCTTGCCGTAGGCCTATGCAATCTTCGGTCTTGTGTCCTCTTTCCTGATGGAATTCGCAGAGGACGTTCGACCTTCTCGCGCTTGGGTCCGATTTCATTTTTTGTGGCCATTGCACCTTCGTGCCCAACTTCTCCAGTGCGTACACTATCTCTGAAGGGGAAACACAAAAGTTATGAGCAGATAAAAGTGGAAGCATACCTCTTTTGTTTCGAAGGGGAGCGGTGTGTCGTAGCACGGCATCCGTATGCCTTGGAGGAGGCGGGTTAGATGTTCTGACATAAGGCTGATGCCTTTCTCGATTGAAACACGGGGGTTGATCCCTTCGCCCCTCGTTACGTCGACCTCTCCTCACCTCGGTCTGTACTGATGTTAGTCGCAGAATCGGGCCATTCAGATCGTCCTCGTCTACCATCACCTCGGCGCAATAGGCGTTGTGGATTTCTTTCCATGTGGTGGGGGGATATTTCATGAGCCTGCTGAGCAACTTCTTGGTCGCTTTGGATCCGTTCCTGCTTAGTCCATTCTGAAAGGCTGCTACCGCCATTTCTTCGGACACGTTCGGTAGGCTCATTCTTACCCTATTGAATCGGGCGAGGAAGTCCCGAATTCACTCACCTGGTGTTTGCCTGATTGCGAAAATATCGTTGACCCTGGCTTCATCTTTCTTCGCTCCTACATGAGCGGTAGCGAATTTGTCCGCCATTTCCCCAAATGTTGATATAGATCGTGCCGGTAGCTGTGAATAACATGTCAAAGCTCCTCCTGTCGGAGTTTCGCCAAACTTTTTCAGCAGTACAGATGATTACTTGTTTCTTTGACAGATCGTTGCCTTTTTTCCGTAGTGACATAATAGATCAGATGATCCTCGGGGTCCGTAGTTCCATCATATATTTTCAAGTATGGTGGCATCTTGAAGGTTTTCGGAATGGGGTGAGGAGCGGCTCCATCGCTATATGGTTGTTCAAATAATCGGCCCACATCGCATTTTGGCAGCAATTTGGGGGCACCAGGTATTTTGTCTACTCTTTCCTGGTGCTCCTTCATTTGGTCGCGAAGTGATTTATTTTCGTTTTCCATTTCTTCCATTTTCTTTAAGATGGCCATGAGTGCATCGTCACCTGCAATAGAGGGAGGGTGAGTGTCGCCCGTTTGTGCGATACTTGGCTCATTGTTGTTAACTGCGAGTTCTGCAGCTGGTAACTCTTCGACGTTTCCTTGAGGGGATTTTTCGAGCATGTTGTTCAGAGCGCTCGTTAACCATTCCTCTAGTAACTTTTTGACCGCCGGTGGTGTTTCTTTCACTGTAGACATGGAAGCTTCTCTTTTGCGCAAGACAGTCAGGTGCTCGTGTGGAGAGGGTGAGATTTCCCCCTCCGGTGTATCTCTTGTTGCTGTATTCTCGGTGTCTTCCCTACCAGCTTCGTTGAGGGAGTTTAAGAGGTTGTTTGAGACATCTGCTACCCTCTTCAAACTTGCTTCTAATTTCTCCGCCATTGTTAGTTTTTGTAGGATTTGAAGAACAGTAGTCGTTACTTTCAAGATCCTAGATGAGAACTATGATTTCGGCTATGGAAATCCCCACAGACAGCGCCAAATTGTTTGACTCAAAAAGATTTTTGATTCTTCTTTTAAGCAAATCAATCACAGATGAAAGGGTAAATCTTAGCAAAAGATAATACTAGGATTTTAATGGTAAAGAGAGAGAGAGCCAGAGAAATAATAGAAAGATAACAAGAAAGATAATAATGTTGTATATTTCACCAAAACTATCTGCCTTTTACAAGACTCGAATCCCTCTTATATATTGAGAGATTTTCCTTAATTGTGGGAACGACGAATTAGGGACTACCTACTACACCAAATCTGACGCTACTACGATGGCGTCACTCCTTCCACCTCTGGGTCATACCCCTATGCTGACTCGTAGGTTTTAGGTCGATGGTCATACTCGCTATAGGCCGAAGTCGATCAAATTCGGACCTATACAGTTAGTCCCTCCGCTTGTCGAGGTCGTAACTGGATGCGTCCTTGATGAGCCGACTTGATGCCCCCCCTTTTGGAGGAATTTAATTCGCTGAGATATTACGACGCGACCAGTGAGAGGTGGTAGTCACATATGGCGGGAAATCTAGGAGTGCACGCCACCTTGTATGACGTCAGCCTTCTATGCGTCATCATTATGCAGATTTTCGAGGCAAAAGACTGACGGTTCGGTGCTTGGTTCCCTGCGCTGATTTGAAACCTGCTACCTCGATTCTGGCGCCGCCCAACCCTATTAATAGAGGAAGGGTTCAATTTCTTCGGAAAACTTTGGCCATTCTTGATAATTTTCCGGTCTTCTTCTTCCGCCTTCATATCTTCTTTGTTTCCGTTTCTGCCTGGAAGTTCTTAGTT